TGCATCGGAAAGTGATTTTATTATGAAAATGCATTAGAGAGGGATTTTATTATGAAAATGCAATGGAAAATGATTTTACTATGAAAATGCATTGGAAAGTGATTTTACTATGAAAATGCATTGGAAAGTGATTTTACTATGAAAATGCATTGGAAAGTGATTTTATCATGAAAATGTATTGGAAAGGGATTTTATTATGAAAATGCATTGGGAAATGAAAATGATTTTAAAGTATTTTAAAAAATGCCATGGAAAGTGATTTTATTATGAAGATGCATTAGAAAAGGATTTTATTAGGAAAATGCAATGGAAAATGATTTTACTATGAAAATGAATTGGAAAGTGATTTTACTATGTGTTATATATCGTACCTATGAACACTAATGGGTATGTCCCAATCCTCATAAATACGTTGGATACTATTGTAAGTGTGGATGGGGTAATACGCTGTCTGATTAGTCCACCACTAGCAGTGGTTTACCTACTTCACGCCGCTGGCGAATATTGTATTTTGTTGATGTTATAAAGATTACCAATTCATTTCCAACCTCTGTTTCGGTTATTTCTCAATCAGTAACACTTTTCAGGTTGCAATAAATAATAAAACCTGAATACCATTTACCTATTAATTCAAGTATAAAGCTGAGCAATATTGACCCAAAGACTAAAAATAATAATAAACAGTTTTCGACATTAAACAGCCCAATATATCATTAAAGTCAACAAATATCACCAGTCTGTGAATTAAATTAGCATTTCATTATGGAACTCTATCAAAAATAACAAGCAGTGCAATGACATTTGAACTCATAGCTCTATATGGTCCGTCTCACATGCCTTCTAAGCACTGACCTACAGCGGGAACCCAATCCAGATATTTCGTTATTTTGTCCTATTTAACAAGAAATCTATGCGAGGACTTTATCCACTAAGCATCAAGCATTCTGTATGAAAAATCGTTTGTATGATTTCTTTGTTATTACTCTCGATTCGGCTCGGTGCCATTTGTTTCTATCTCAGGCTGTTTTCCTTAATGAACACAGGAATCTTTCCAACGACTTTAATGTCGATCAAACAACTGAAGAAGTATTCATTTGTCTGACGCAATCAAACTCTCCTTTCCGACAATCGATCTTACCGATTACTTTACTAATGGATTTTGGGAGCGCCATGTTCATCGGACAACAGAACTGTCTGGTTACACGCAACCTTTTTAGTTGAGTGAATCACGCATGCGTGTGTCGCTGGATTAGAAGTCGTTCGGGGTCAATTGTCTATTAGTGGAAAAGTCAGGAAGCTTTCCGTAAATCGACATCATTTTCGGACATGGAAATCGACAAGAAGCAGTAGGCATGCATGTGGGCAAATAGGTAGTCCTGTTAAAATATTGTCTTGTTATCTTTTAATATAACAGCCATAGTATGATGAAATATACTTTTAAGGTATACCATATTTATGAGTTAAAGTGCTCAATACCAGGGATAGAACATATGTAAATATAAAAGTAGACATTGGGATCAAAACCCAGCAGTAACAGTCTGTTTCATGCTTAAATGCAATTGGATTGAATGAAAAAATTCTCGCCGCTGTGTTTTTGATCCCAATATATATATATATATATATATATATATATATATATATATATATATAATAAAAAAGAAGAGATGAACCGCAAACGTTTTTTTTATAAAGGATAGGCAGTTGTGGAGAGCCATGATCACCCACGTTCTGAATGGATGGCAGAATAGGGACTTGAGGGATAGCAAATGAACAGATATTGCTTGGAGCTATAAAGGATAGGCAGTTGTGGAGAGCCATGATCACCCACGTTCTGAATGGATGGCAGAATAGGGACTTGAGGGATAGCAAATGAACAGATATTGCTTGGAGCTATAAAGGATAGGCAGTTGTGGAGAGCCATGATCACCAATGTCCTGAATGAATGGCAGAACAGGGACTTGAGGGATAGCAAATGAACAGATATTGCTTGAAGCTATAAAGGATAGGCAGTTGTGGAGAGCCATGATCACCCACGTTCTGAATGGATGGCAGGGACTTGGGATAGGGACTATAAGGGATTGTGAAATTCCATGAACAGATATTGGCTTGAGGAGCTAACAGATAAAAAGGATAGGCAGTTGTGGAGAGCCATGATCACCAATGTCCTGAATGAATGGCAGAACAGGGACTTGAGGGATAGCAAATGAACAGATATTGCTTGAATCTATAAAGGATAGGCAGTTGTGGAGAGCCATGATCTCCCACGTCCTGAATGAATGGCAGAACAGGGACTTGAGGGATAGCAAATGAACAGATATTGCTTGGAGCTATAAAGGATAGGCAGTTGTGGAGAGCCATGATCTCCCACGTCCTGAATGAATGGCAGAACAGGGACTTGAGGGATAGCAAATGAACAGATATTGCTTGGAGCTATAAAGGATAGGCAGTTGTGGAGAGCCATGATCTCCCACGTCCTGATTGAATGGCAGAACAAGGACTTGGAGGTATACCAAATGAACAGATATTGTTTAGAGCTATAAATGATAGGAAGTTGTGGAGAGCCACGATCGCCCACTTCCAGAAGGGAAAAAAGGAAATAGCGAGTAACTTTCCTAATGGACTTGTATAAATGGATGGTAGAAGGATTTTGGAGCACTAGTATAGGGACAATCATTGTTTAGGTCTACAAACGGTAGGAAGTTGTGGAGAGCGATAACTCTGCACGTTTTAAAAGAATACGGTACAGATATTTTTTATTATTACATTTGGGTTTTGCGTTCCCAGATCTTATTTCTCGGTACATTGTAATCGTCCATTGAGGTTCAGTGTGTTTTTCCCTTGCTCTCTTCTCCCTTAGAACCAACTGTAGATCAGAGTTTCAATATGTAAATAAAAAAAAAAAATTGTTTTAGCTTTTTGCCGTTAAACAGTTGATTGCATTTTTCGGGTAGACATCGGTTGGGAGTTATCGGCATAAACGTTCGTATCAAAGTAGAAAATTATATCACCAACTGCGCATCATAAAATCGACTTTTCACTCTTTGCTGATTCATTGTCTTTTATTCATGAGTGAATCTTCCTTAGCATAAAATTTAACTCTTGCATTAAATACCTACATGTCTTCGAGTGGCTCTTGAGCTTTGCATAGGGTGAACATCATTCTAAAAAAGTAACTTACCTAACGAACTTTTCTAAATGGATGGCAGAACAGAAGCTTGGAGGGATACCAAATGAACAAACATTGCTTAGAGCCACAAAGGATAGGAAGTTATGGAGAGCCATGATCACCCACATTCTGAAGGGCAATAGCGAGTTACTTACTGTTGTGGTAGGATCCACCTAATTTGCATAGTGGACTACCGACCATATAAATATGGTTGGTACCGGGAAGACGAGAGGAGGAATCAAGAGATTCAACCCGAGACTCTGCACGACTGCGACTCAGTCAACAAATTCTCCAGGAACGGTCTTACCAGGAATATACAAAAGACTATATGTAAATATTGTGTACACTTTCTTGTTTCAATACATTTTGTTCTAAGTAGCTTTTTTGTTGCATTATTATTCCATGCATTAGTCAAGTTTCAACACTTACCTAACGAACTTGTCTAAATTGATGATAAAACAGTGGCTTGGATGGATAATAAACAGACATTGCTTAGAGCTACAAAGGATAGGAAGTTGCAGAGAGCTAAGATCACCCATGGCCTTAAGGGAAATATCGAGTCACTTGCCGAACGAACTTGTCTTAATAAATAATAAAACAGTGGCTTAGGGGGATAGTAAACGAACATATATTGCTTAGAGCTATACAGGATAGGAAGTTGTGGAGAGCCACGATCACCCACGTCCTGAAGGGAAAAAGGGAAACAGCGAGTCACTTACCTAAAGAATGTTTTCTGAATGAATGGCAGAACAAGGACTTGGAGGGGTAGCAAATGAACAGATATTGCTTAGAGCTATAAAGAAAAAGGAAGTTGTGGAGAGACACGATCACCCATGTCCAGAAGGGAAAAAAGGAAATAGCGAGTAACTTTCCTAATGGTCTTGTATAAATGGATGCTAGAATGATTTGAAGGGCTAGTATAGGGACAATCATTGTTTAGATCTACAAATGGTAGGAAGGCGTGGAGAGCGATAACTGTGCACGTCTTAGAATACGGTACCGATATTTTTTATTATTACATTTGGGTTTTCCGTTCCGAGATCTTATTCCTCGGTACATTGTAATCGTCCATTGAGGTTCAGTGTGTTTTTCCCTTGTTCTCTTCTCCCTTAGAACCAACTGTAGATCAGAGTTTCAATATGTAAATGAAAAAAAAAAAAATTTTGTTTTAGCTTTTTGCCGTTAAACAGTTGATTGCATTTTTCGGGTAGACATCGGTTGGGAGTTATCGGCATAAACGTTCGCATCAAAGTAGGGAATTATATCACGAACTGCGCATCATAAAATCGACTTTTCACTCTTTGCTGATTCATTGTCTTTTATTCATGAGTGAATCTTCCTTAGCATAAAATTTAACTCTTGCATTAAATACCTACATGTCTAAGAGGATGTTTTCAAATGGAAAATAAAAATAAAGAACTGCTTGAAATTTTACCGAAAATTAACAACTGTCTGAAAGAGACGTTGTTTTTTTTTTTCAGTTTTATTATTTCTGTTGTGGTAAATCGAATATATTTTCTTCTCTTTGTCAATTAACATTATATTGTGTAATTTAGCTAAAAACGAAAATTCAGCTGACTGTAATATTCAATGACCGCTTACGTATTTAGAGCAATCGTGAAGATCCGGTGGTTAATTTGGTTTTCTCGCAATCTATTAGCAGTGATTTAGATGTTAAAAAATGGTAAAGGGAAGAGAAAAAAGTTTGTAGAAAAAAGAAAGAAAACGAAAAGTAAAGGTGAAAAAAGCGAAGAAAGAAAAGGCAAAAGCGGAAGGGAAAAAAAGAAAGAAAAGTAAGAAAGTAAGAAACAAAGCGAAAGGAAAATGTAAAAACAAGAAAGAAAGAAAGAAAGAAAGAAAGAAAAGAAGAAACAAAGAAAGAAAATGAGAAGAGATAATGACAAAAACGAAGAAAGAAAGAATGAAAGCAGAAGGGAAATGGAAAAAGAAAGAGAAAGAAAGAAAGAAAGCCGAAGGAAAATGTAAAAAGAAAAAAAACACAAGAAAGAAAAGAAGAAACAAAGAAAGAAAATGAAAAGCGATAATGAAAAAAGCGAAGAAAGAAAGAAAGAACGAAAGACGAAGTAAAAAGAAAGAAAAAGAAAGAAAGCAAAAAGAAAGAAAGCAAAAAGAAAGAAAGCGAAAGGAAAATCTAAAAAGAAAAAAAAAACAAGAAAGAAAGAAACAAAGAAACAAAGAAAAAATGAAAAGAGAAAATGAAAAAGGTAAAGAAAAAGAAAAAAAGGAAACGAAAAAGACAAAGAAAGCGAAATGAAAATGAAAAAAAGAAAAGAATATGAAAATGAAAACAAGAAAGAAAGAAAGAAATTCAGGAAAAAAAAAAAAAAAAAAAAAAACAAATAGAGAATGACCAAAAAAAAAAAAGTGAACTAAAATGCCTAGAATACACAGTGAAACTTGATTTGGAAAGGACATCAGGTCGGGAATTGACCTTTGTTGGACTCCTTGTACCATTTGCGCTTAGGTTTTGTCACGTGACGATAGCTAAGAAAATGTGAACATGTCGGATGTTTAAGCGACCCAAATATGAATCCTAGAGAAGCCAAAACTTGAAACGGGATTAAATTTCGTATTTAATCTTTTTTTCTTCTTCTCATTAGCAATTTTACAGTCATTTGCAACCGAGTTCAATGTTTATTGTACATCACCGAACCTCACCAACATAGCCGCATGAAAATCTATCTTTGTTCTAATTTGCGGTTGAGGAACATACAGACATGAATATGACTCTGTAAAGTTTCATCCCTCTCTCTCACTCTCTAATTCACTCACACTCTCTCTCCCTCTAACTCACGCACCTCCCTCTCTTTCTCTCTACCCATCACGCACCTCTCTCTCTTTCTCTCTACCCATCACGATTCTCTCTTTCTCTCTACCCATCACGCACCTCTCTCTTTTCTCTCTACCCATCACGCACCTCTCTCTTTCTCTCTCTACCCACGCACCTCTCTCTTTCTCTCTACCCATCACGCACCTCTCTCTTTTCTCTCTACCCATCACGCACCTCTCTCTTTCTCTCTACCCATCACGCACCTCTCTCTCTTTCTCTCTACCCATCACGCACCTCTCTCTCTTTCTCTCTACCCATCACGCACCTCTCTCTCTTTCTCTCTACCCATCACGCACCTCTCTCTCTTTCTCTCTACCCATCACGCACCTCTCTCTCTTTCTCTCTACCCATCCGCACCTCTCTCTTTCTCTCTACCCATCACGCACCTCTCTCTCTCTCTCTACCATCACGCACTCTCTCTTCTCTCTACCCATCACGCACCTCTCTCTCTTTCTCTCTACCCATCACGCACCTCTCTCTGTTTCTCTCTACCCATCACTTTACGTTCGTTGTTTCTTTATTTCGTGAAGTACCATGGTTTCTCAGTTTTCTCTTTGTGTTCCTCGCACTTATCTTAAGTCATTAAATAAATTACATTCTCGATATATATGTATCCAGGATATAATTAATCGAAAATTAAAAAAACAAAAAGATATTTACCCAGTTTGAGATTCCACTAAACAAAAAAAAAAATTGTATGAAAATTAAAGAATCTTTGAAAAAATACTAGTTTTTTTTCAAAAAGAATGTTAGTATCATGGTGACTTCCTAAGCATAGCTTAGGATGTAAAGCACTTTGACCTTACTATTAAGACAGGAGGAAATAGTTGTGTCTTTAGTATAGATATCAAGTCGAAATATATATATATATATATATATATATATATATATATATATATATATATATATATATATATAAACATAAAACATTAGGCAGCATATGATTTACATACAAAGAATAAACACACACAGAATTAATCAGAAGTATCAATGCGATTATTGACGACATCCATCGCTAGAAAACATAATATATGCATTAAAATCCTGTTCATCCATAGTGCGAGTTTTGAACCTTGAAGAAAAACTTGTTGTCTGTAGTTTTTCAGTTTATTTGATGTTAAAATGCTAGTACTTACGGACAGTCTTCCATCCATCATCAGGCATGTGTTTTTTTTCCTTATAAAATCAAAAACTTGAGACGATATACCTGTATGTCGACCGAAAGATGTTTTTTGAATATCTGCTATTATTGACGGTTGTAAGATATCGGAACATCTTTCGCCAATAATCGCATTGATACTTCTGATTAATTTATATATATATATATATATATATATATATATATATATATATATATAGATAGATAGATAGATAGATAGATAGATGTATTTGTTTGGATATGTGTGTGTGTGTGTGTTTGTGTGTGTGTGTGTGTGTGTGTATTAGGGTTAAACATTCATAACATATATATTAGGTTGGTGCAAAATAATGACGGAATAATGTCGTTCTTTGACGTATTTTTTAACCTCAAAAAACGACATTATTACGTCATTATTTTTGCACCAACCTAATATTAGTTTTTGTTGTGGATCGACACAGACATTGAACTTCACTTCTGCTTGAAGTAATTTTGCATTATTTTGACACTTGACGTTGATTTTCAAAAGAAAACATTACTCTCTCACTGAAGGCCCCGCAACAATCTCTGGCGAGACAGGCAAATACGCAGGAAAAATGTCACGCTTCAAGAAGTAGCCATTAGCTTTACTTGTGCATGGAATCAAACATGGCGGAGTTGATGTCATCTGGTCTTCAGTTGTCGTTTACAGAAATAGATTTTTTTTTTCAATCAGTCCTTGTCTATAATGTTTACTGGATCAGCTTTTACGTATGAGACATGTGTCCAGGGCCGGGGATGCGGGGCAAATCTGGAGAGATTTTATGGGAACGAAAGAGAGAAAGAGAATTAAAGAATTTAAATGGCTTTTAAAACTGATTATCATGATTGGTCAAGAGCTGAGATAATGAGAGAGAAAAGAGAGAAATAAGAGAGAGACAAGAAAACGACAAAACGAGAAACGAGAGAGCGGGGGGCGAAAAGAAGGGAAAGAGAAAAGAGAAAAAAGAAAAAAGAGGAAGACATAAGAGAGCAAAGAAAGAAAGACAAATAAATAAAGAATGAATGAATGAATTGATGAAAGGGAAAAGAAAGTGAATGAAAGCAAGATTGCAAAATAAAGAAAATGAAAGAAGAAAAGTAAGAAAAGATGAAAGAGAAAAAAGAAAATTGTGAAAGAACGAAAGAAAACTAAAAATCAAGAAAGAAAAAGAGAAAGAAAGAAAACTGGGAATGAAAGACAGGGAAAGAAAGAAAAATTGACAATGAAAGAAAGAGAAGGAAAGAAAACTGAGAATGAAAGAAAAGAAGAAATGAAAATTGAGAATGAAAGAGAAAGAAAGAAAACTAAGAATGAAAAAAGAGAAAAAAAAAGAAAATTGAGAATGAAAGTAAGAGAAGGAAAGAAAACTGAGAATGAAAGAAAGACTAAAAAAAGAAAACTGAGAATGAAAGAAAAAGAAGGAAAGAAAACTGAGAATAACAGAAAAAGAAGAAATGAAAATTGAGAATGAAAGAGAAAGAAAGAACACTGAAAATGAAAGAAAGAGAAAGAAAGAAAGAAAATTGAGAATGAAAGAAAGAGAAAGAAAGAAAGAAAGAAAATTGAGAATGAAAGAAAGAGAAAGAAAGAAAATTGAGAATGAAAGAAAGAGAAAGAAAGAAAGAAAATTGAGAATGAAAGAAAGAGAAAGAAAGAAAATTGAGAATGAAAGTAAGAGAAAGAGTGAAAACTGAGAATGAAAGAAAAAGAAAGAAAGAACACTGAGAATGAAAGAAAGAAAAATTAAGGCAGGGAAATGAAATAGAGAAAGAAGAAAGAAAAATGAACAAGAAAGAAATAAAAGAAATGAAGAAAAATTGAGAAGGGAAGAAAAAAAGCGTAAGAAATTTAAGAAAACTGAAAAAAAAGAAAGGGAATAAAGAAAAACTCTGAAAAAAAATAAAGAATGACTGCCAAAGAAAAACTAAGAAAGGAAAAAGAAAAAAATGAGAAGAAAGAAAATTGACAATGGAATAAAAATTTCAGAAAGAAATAAGAAAGAAAAATAAGATAAAAAGGAAATAAAGAAATTTTGGGAAAGAAAAAGAAAGTAAAAAATTGAAAAAGAATGAAAAATATAGAAAGATAGCGAAAGAAAAAAAGAAAAGAAAAAAGAAAGACAAAGAAAATTGAAAAAGAGAAAAGGAAAATTGAGAATGAAAAACGAAGAATTATGAAAGAAAAAAATAAAATATTAAAGGCGAAAATATACCGAAATGAAAAAAAAAAACTACAAAAGAAAGGAAAAACGAAAGCGAATAAAAAAATGAAAAGAAAGAAAATTGAGAAAGAGAACGAATAAGATAAACAGTTTAATTTTCAGGTTTATGTTATTTCTATTGTGTTACATCGAATACATTTTCATCCGTCAAAAACGTCAAAAAAAAAAAGAACATTAAATATCATGTAATTTAACTAAAAAGAGCTGTCTCTATTATTTAATGACGGCTTACATATTTAGTGCACTCTTCATAAATACAACAGTTAATGTTGTTTTCTTAAAATACATTAACATTTACAACGTGAGTCGAAAGAAAGAAAGAAAGAATCAAACAAAAAAAAAAAGAAAAGAGAGAAAAGCAAGTATGCTTATGAGATATAAAGACGGAAAATAAATTTCGGTTTGAACTGAAACTCAACCATAAACGAGATAACAT